CGTCGTGACCCCCGGGGGACCTGGGGCCCCTCGCCTGGCATGCTCAGGCTCGCCCGCGCCCTGCCCCCCCTCGGCCCGGGCTGGGCCCGACTGCAGGGATCTGAGGTGGGCACCAGCCAGGGAAGGCCTGCGCCCAGGCACGGCTGCCACCTGCAAGCTTAAAGCGGATGCACCTCCCGCGTCTCAAGTCTTCCATTAGCAGCTTTAATTAACCCACGTGTGTGTCACGTCCGATCCCGAGACGGCCGAGCGGACCCTAGAAGGGCTTCCCCCACGCCGCCCCGACGTGGGTCGGAGAGGTGGGCCTGGGTGAGGGCGGGGGTCCACCGAGGACATTCTTACTGTGCTAAAAAGCCACTGCAAACATAGCAATAAAAACATGTCATTTTCCAAAGCTGGCTCCCGAGCCACCTCTGCTTGTCGTGAGGGGTTGGGGGGGGGGGGGGGGGGGAAGTGGGGAGGCATCCCCACCTGGAGCTGCTCCTCAGGGCGTTTGTTCCGAGGATCCGTGCGGGCGCTGTTCCAGGACCTGGGAGCGGAGCAGGTCCCGGAGCCGGCAGAGCACCTCTTCCCCACGCACCCGGTACACGGCGGGAGAGGAGAGAGAGCAGGGCAGGTGGGTGGGAAGCCACGGGTGCTGAGTCTCCTGAAAGGTGCCCAAATGCCGCAGAGAACAGGTAAGCTCTGAGGCACAAGCCACGCACGGCAGGTGAGCAGGAGGTCGGGACGGCCAGGGAGAAGGCTGCAGCAGGACCCGGGGAGGCAGACAGCAGTGGGACTGGGGCGCTGGCCGCGCAGGGCCTAGGGACCTGTTTGCAAGGTGGAGCCCATGACCTGTGTGTGGCTGGGAATGTGGGTTTTAGAGAGGAGTCAGGGGACCCTGAGCTCTTGGGCACCAGAAGGACGGCACTGGCAGGCCCTGAGCCCAGGAAGATAAGGGAGAGGGTGTGAAGGGGGTGTGTGGCAGCTGACTGAGGGCCTGCTGTACCAGAGAGATCACCTCGCCGGAAATGTGTAGGCAATAGGGTGGACAAGGGGTCTGCAGTTCCAGAAAGAGTCTGGACTGGAGCAAACAGGTTCTCAGCCATCAACATGGCTCTGAAAGCCCGGAGCCTGCACGAGCTCACAGAGAGCGGCCAGGAGCCCGTGTAGAGGGAGAAGCAGCCCACACAGCACGCCCTGGGGCTCTGGGACTCTTGGGAGGAGAGAGGGAGCAGCCACGGAGATGAGGCGGGGTGGCCAGAGGGCTGAGAGGGACCCCGAGAGGGCAGATGCAGGGTGACCTCCCGGTTCAGGAAGGGCCGCACATATGCGCACACCAGGGCACGGGGTGGTCAGCGAGGAGGAGCGAGGGGCTCCGCGGGGGCTGCTGCTGGTCAAGGGACAGGAGGCCCCAGAAAGCTCGCTGCACTTGGCAACGAGCTTCTTGGAGACCCACACAGGAGAGGTTCCGGTGCAGGGGGTGCGTGCCAGAGCTTGACTGGGTGGCATTAAGAAAAAAGAGGTAGGCGCAACCCAAGCATTCACTGAGGGAGGAAATGGATAACAAAACAGGGCCTATCCATGTCTTTGTTAAAAAGGAAAGAAATGGGGAACCTGGCGGGCTCAGCTGGAAGAACGTGTAACTTGATCTGGGTCTCGTGAGTTCAAGCCCCATGTTGGGTGCAGAAATTACTTAAATAAATAAAAGCTTTAAAGAAAAGGAGACTCTGGGCCCTGCTACAACATGGCAGAGCCTCAAAGCAGACACAGAGAGTGCAGAAGGCTGCTTCTGGAGGGCAAACAGAGTGGGCTGCAACCAAAGAGCAGGACGGTGGGTCAAGGCGTGGGAGCCTGGCGCTCTCTCTGGATGCCAGCCTGGGGCTGGCGGGGGGGTCCTGGCTCGCTGCCCCCTGCAGTCCCTCCCAGGCCAGTCCCTGCGCTCTATCAAGGCACGGCCCCCTTCCTGAGGAGTAGGAGCATTAGCCCTCAACCAGACAGCCAAGGGTGGGCCATGCTCTGAGGGTCACCACTAACCAGGACAGGGGGCAGGTCCCCACAGAACTCAGAAAGGAGCACCGTCTGAGCAGGCCCGACTGCAGTGGAAGCCAGGCCTGTGCGGGCACGTGGAGGCACCTCCCGGCGGGACGCGCGGGCCAGGCCCTGGGCCCCTCACACCGTGCCCCGCCCTGTCGACTCCTCCAGCGAGAGTCCCTGCCTCCACGCCCACAGAATGGAGTCCGCAGCCAACGGTCACCGCCCCGAGGCCTGCTCTGCTCCCGCACCCTGGGCGCACAGCAACTCCTTACCATGTCCACGCCCCCAGCTACCGCCACGCCTCGGCTCAGGTCGGCGGGACCTCTTGCCGAATAGCCTCCGAGCCACCCGCCGCAAGAAACATCCACATCGTAAAAGGAGATGTGGACGGAGGCTGGGCTGCTTGGCTGGAGCCCTGAGAGCAGTGGGCAGTCACCATTTACTCTGCACTCTGCCTCTGGGGAAGGGGCTCAGGACAAGGAGTCTGGCCACCTAGTAGGAGACAGGTAAGGAAAGCAGCCAGCCCAGACCTGCTGTGCACGGGGCCGCCGCAGCCACGGGCAGGGCACAAGGGGGGGTAACAGGCTTACTCAGGGCAGAGGGCTGCTAGGAAATAGCACTTCGAACAGCCCGCGAGCGGCCCTCCGGTCAGGGCTGACCTGCTGCCCCCTCCACCCCAGCTAGATGGTGCACCAGAAACAGCGAGCCGAGGCTTTCTTCTCTCTGCCTGGCCCAGGGCCCGACACTACAGGGGTGCAGGGAGTGCCTGAAGCTGGCCAGGGAAGAACTCACAGACTCACTGTTTGGACTCTGGCCTCTATAGGTTCATAGAAGGGCGAGCTCAACGGAGGGCAAGGGAGCCAGGGAACACTTCCTGGAAAAGTGGGACTATCCCTCAGCTTAGCACAGCACCCACAGAGCCTCACCCATAGTCCCCCGCCCATATGCCCCATCAGACGCCAACTTGCAGCTTGTGAAAGCATGGGGAGGGGGAGGGGACACCGGAGAAGGCAGCCACTGGCCCAGGCCCAGCAGGGTTAGAAGGTGTGTGAGTACAAGCTAGCCACTAGCGCTAACATCTTCGGGAGCCTCACAGTTCCAAAAGAAAACACCTCCAACCTGCTCCCTCTGCCCCGTTCTCGGAGCCAGCAAAGCACAAGTGCCGCATCGGAAGACAGGCCACAGGAGCCCCAGCCACCCGGGCTCTCGGGCTGTTCCTGAACACTATGAGCCCCGCTCGGAAGAGGCCACCCACTGAAGCTAGCCGGCGGGGCCAACCACCAAGGGGGACACCGCTGGGAAAGCAGGCACTAAGCCAGGAGACACGCCCGATGGTTCCCAGGGCTGCAGGCAGCAGAGAAGACACCCTCCCCCACACCAGGCTCTACCCTGAGCCAGCCAGAGGTCACTGTCAAGGGCAGGTCTCCTCTCTTAGTACACAGGAGTCAGAGGTCATCCTGCAAACCTTCAGTAGGAAGTGAGGCAGGGAGTGACTCATGGCACCCTGCCACCTTCTACCTGTCCTAAAATGTGACGAACAGGACTCAGGCAGGCAACTCTGTCACCGGGAAGCCCCAGCACTTCACAGAGTCTCCCAAGAGTCCCTGGACCCAGTAGCCAACCCAACTGGTCAGACACGCCCTAACCCAAGGAGTCATAAGCCCTAACCCAAGGAGTCATAAAACACGGCCTGCCTGGGGAGCACGAGGCAAAGGTAGAGAGAGAGCAAGTGTGAGTGAGCCTGGGCCTAGCCTGAGATGAGGGAAGCTTTAGGGGTGGGAATAAGCTAGAAGAAAATAATCTGAAGGCCTCCAGGACCAAAGACTGGGGTTCTCTATCAGAGCTACCTGCCCCACCTTCCTGGTCACTCCCATGATGGCAGAAAGAGGTGGCCTCCTGGTGGCCCCAATTACACACACGAACCACAGTCACGTGATAACAACCTTTATTGCCCCCAAGAGAAACTCTACTAGGCCTGCTCCATCGACCCTCCAGCAGGACCAGAGAAAAGGGGCCCTGGAGCCCCAAACAACACGCAACACAAAAAACGGCTCAACTCAGTGGGAAGCAATGCCTGCCTCATGCCTGGCTGGCCAGGACGTTCGCAAACTCATCCTGAGTGGGCGGCAACCGGGTCCCCTGCAGTACGCCGGGACAGCGCCAACTGCGAGGTGCGCAAGGGGGCGGGAAGCGGGAGGGGGCGAGCCGAAGTACCCGGGAGGCCAGGGTGCAGGCAGCAGCGGGCACAGGCCAGGTAGCAGGCGGGGAGGAGCAGGCTCACTCCTCCTTCTTGTCCGTGGGGCCGTCTACTGCTGCCTGGAAGGGACAGAAACCACAATGCAAGGGATCGACAGGATGCACCCCTCCCCTTCAGCCCCTGGCCCCTCCACCCTAAAGGCCCAGCTTGCTGCCTTCTCCCTAAGTGACAGGTACCAGGGGAGCAAGGAGCCCCACCCCCCGCAGCAGCACCCGAAGGCCTGCCAGGGCAGGAGTGGCCCCATTCTAGCGAAGGCTGTGACCCTAACACCAACCAGGGAGGTGCAGCCGGGAGCCTCCTCTGTCACTCCTCCCTTCAAGCCGCAGCGCCCCACACCAACCACCATCTTGGGCCCGCGGCAGGCCCTGCATTCCAGTCCCTCCCCAGTCCCAGCTCAGGCCCTGCCCAGTTCTGTATGTATATTCTCTGTGGGTCCTGCCAGTGAGCCCCCCTACACTGAGGCCACCACCAGTCCTCCTCTGGGGCTGGGTCATGCCTCTTCAGCCCCTGTGGTGGCCAAATCTGGGCCGCCAAGCAACAAGGCAAATCGTCAGAACTTAGGGGTGCTTGCCAGGCCGTCACGCCTAATTTCCAGGCCACCTGAGTTTCCACATGCAGCCAATGTGAGGACTCAGGTCCTGGGCGGGGACGGGATAGGTGGGTGGCCCCGGCCCTGCATCAACCCCTCAGCCCACGTACAGGAGGCCGGCTGCCCGTTACAGAGTCTCCCCGCAACAGAGCCCGCGCCACAGACCGGGTGCACATGTGAGCGAAGGCATTCTTCTCGAAGACACTGATGCCAGGGCTGAGGCCAGGCAGGCACGGCACAGGGGCGCGCCGCACGGCCGAGGCCACTTTAGCAAGCGGCTGCCATCTGCCAAGCCACACCCACCCGCCCGAGAAAGGGCCCCAGCTGTTGGCCCAGACTGGCACCGCTCGGCAGGCTCTTCTCTAGACCCGGAGCCAGCAGCAGAGGAGGAAGAAAGGGGGAGCGGGAGACCAAGAAGCCAGCCTGCCGCGGGGGCCCTTGTAGGCTCTGCTGAGGCAGGCTAGTCTGGGGGTGGGCCGGCTCTGGCCTGCGCGGGCGTGGGGTGCGGGGGTACAGGAGTGCAGGGGCTCTGATTCTCTCCAACAGAGCAGACTACACCTGCAGCTGACCTGTAATTTCGCGTGCTCCTCCAACAGGCGGTCGTACTCCTTGGTCAGGCCCTCGGACTGCTTCCGCATGGCCAGAGCCTCGTTTTCAGCCTTCTCTAATTCTGGGGATGGTACCGATGAAGAGGAAAAGGAAACAGAAAGACGGGGTTAGGGAGAGAAAATCCCAGCTGCCGGAGACACCAGAAACAGGTCTGAACGTGTCCCCTCTAAGGCTGTCGAGAGCGCACGCCCCCCAGAAAGCTCCCCTGCCAGCTACCGCGAGGGCCCCCGAAGTGGGGCAGGGCTGGCCAACACAGCTGGGGGAGGCGGGAAAATACCAAGGACACCGTGGCCCATTTGATGGAGGGACTCCCAAGTGACCCCAGGCGCAGGAGACTTCAGGGAGGCTGAGAGCATGGGACGACAGCGTGAGAAGGCTAAGGTGAGAGAAGGCAGCACGGAGCAGACTCTCACCCTCAAAGTTGAGAGCAAAAAGCAAGTTGGGGGGGGGGTCTTCAGGAAAGGAGATGGGGTCACAGCAGGTTCTCCAGAAACACTGCAAGCGAATTCTTTCTGTCCCCGCCCCAAAGACCCTGGCGATGCCACCACCTACAGAGAGCACCGCTCCCCAGGCCTGGTGCCGGCCGAGATGCTCTGGGGTTAGTCTTGGAGCAGCTGGGGCCCCCTGGGCCCCGAGACAGACACTGCACCACTGAGCCCAGCAGCTGTGCGAGCCGAGGGCTGTTTGCTGCCACCCAGCTCCTGAGCCCAAGGGCGAGTTTGTTACTCATACTCCGGCACAAGTGGTGCAGCCACCACTGCGGGAGCATCCAGACTTTCAGGGGCTGGCGACAGCTGAGGTCAATGCTCACTTTGCTTGTTGACGTCCAGCTCGTCCTTCAGCTTCTTCACATCAGCCTTCAGGCTCCTGTTCTCTTCTTCCACCTTCTTCTCGGCATCCCTACCGTCCGACTTCACCCCGCCAACAGCAGCTTCCTAGGCACAACGCCAAGGGCACGGGTTACTTGGGAGGGAGGGAGGGAGGCAGCAGGCAGGCAAACAGGCGATCCAACTCTGTCTTCCCCACGGAGTGCAATTCCTCAAGCGGCCTCGGGTACTTGACCCTTGGGGAATGTCAGTGCAGATGGGCTCCTAGGCCACGTGCCCTGCCTCTCTTCCTCAGCTGCACTGCGGACTTTACCGGTCCAGCCAATGACTCAATCTGCTCTCTTCTGGAGATTTCTGCCAGTCAACCCCAACTGACCAATGACCTGTGTTCCTCTCCCCAGACTCCACAGCTGACTCTGGCCAGGAGCCCCAAACTCATCCCTGCCCATGCAACTCTATCCCATCTATGAATGAACCAGGTCCGTCTACCCATCTCCTTCCCAGCTCAGCTCACACCTCACCTCCTCACACAAGCCTTCCGAGACTGGCTACCTCCCGTCCCTACTCTGTCTCCAGCTGATACAATCCTCAGGAGACCACAGGCCTTACCTTGCACTCTTCTGTGCTAACTGGCCCATGGCTCACAGCACAGGGCTTGGCTCACCGGAGAGTCAGCTCTGTCAAGCAAGAGTCTAGCCCAGATGTAGCACATAGAGACAAGGGAGCACCAACGGTACCCCCGTCCCTGTCGAGTCCCCGGATCCCTCCCCTACACACTCCCGAGAACTACGCCTTCACCTTCTACCCAACCCCTCAGCTTGGCCAACAGCCATAGCGTCACACACTCCCAGCCCAACAGGCCAACAGTGGCCCTGAGGTCCACAGGGAACGTCACACAGCCGAGCCCTGCAGGCAGAACTCACCTTCTTCAGCTGGTCATTCTCTTCCATGTACTTCTTGGCCGCCTCACTAGCACTCTCCGCCTGCTTTTTAAAGGCTTCGTTGGACGCCAGCAGCGTGGCCTGCTGGGAGATGAGAGTCACCAGGCGTCTAAGCAGGCTACAATTGAAAAAGAAGGAAAACTGAGCGGAAGAAAGCAGGGAAAATGGCTGGCAGGAACTCCTCTTCGTTGTTCCTGTCTCAACCCTGCCTCTAGCCTAGACCTGTCCTCTTAGATTGCCAGGGCAGCCAAGCAAGACGCCACCAGCCTGGGTCTGGCAACAGAAGGGAAAAGGCGGAACCTGAGAGCTGTCCTCCTGCCACCAGAATGATTAATACTGCCCCAAAACGGCTGCCCAAAGCTCTGGAGCTGTCCTTCAGTCCCAAAGGCACAGGAAGCAACACACTGATGACACACCCCAGACCAGGCCTAGCTATAGCCAGAGGACCCCAAACCTAGTCCTTTCCAGCTGAGGGCCTGCACCCAGATGTTCCAAAGAAGCCACAG